CCTCAACCCCTGGGACGTGATGCTCTGCGTCTCCGGCACCGCCATCGCCTGCGAGAACGCCCTGGTGGTGGCCATCATCTGCTACTCGCCCGCCCTGCGCACCCCTATGTTCGTGCTGGTGGGCAGCCTGGCCACGGCTGATCTCCTGGCCGGCCTCGGCCTCATCCTCAACTTCGTTTTCCAGTACGTGATCCGCTCCGAAACGGTCAGCCTGCTGACGGTGGGCTTCCTCGTCGCCTCCTTCGCCGCCTCCGTGAGTAGCTTGCTGGCCATCACGGTCGACCGCTACCTCTCCCTCTACAACGCCCTCACCTACTACTCGGAGAGGACGGTGCTCTGCATCCACACCATGCTGGCGGGCGCCTGGGGGGTCTCCCTCTGCCTGGGGCTGCTGCCTGTCCTGGGCTGGAACTGCCTCCATGACCATGCCGCCTGCAGCGTCGTCAGACCCTTGACCAAGAGCAACGTGACGCTGCTGTCCGCCTCTTTCTTTCTTATTTTCCTCATCATGCTCCATCTCTACATCGAGATCTGCAAGATCGTTTGCAGGCATGCCCACCAGATAGCTCTCCAGCAGCACTTTCTGACTGCTTCGCACTATGTCGCCACCAAGAAAGGCGTCTCTACCCTCGCTATAATCCTTGGGACTTTTGGAGCCAGCTGGCTGCCTTTTGCCATCTACTGCGTAGTGGGGGATCCTGAGTACCCTTCCGTGTACACCTACGCCACCCTCCTACCTGCTACCTACAACTCCATGATCAACCCCATCATTTACGCCTACAGAAACCAGGAAATCCAGAGGTCCATGTGGGTGCTCTTCTGCGGCTGCTTTCAGGCTAAAGTGTCCTTTCGCTCCCGGTCCCCCAGTGATGTCTGAGTGACTTTTCTCTCTGTCATACTGCGCCAAGTGACAATCTACTCAGTGAACTATTAGAGTGCCTGTTCTAAACTTCAAACTACGTCGTGAAGTCGTTGGAAACATGCTTAAGTATTAGCACTTTATACATGTTTGTGTCTCTGAGAGTGGTTCGGAGTATGGAGTTTTGGGTTCTGTGAAAAAAAAAAAAAGGGTTGTATATAAATTTGCACATCACATTTGTGGAGACATTCCGATACTGCTTAATTATAGCACCTTATTTCTAGCTGCTGACCTGCCGATACAGTGTTGCCTTTCTGAAGGGCAGAGAGAGAGAAAGTTGTGTTTGCGTTGTATTTGTACGTGTGTGTGTCAGGGAGTGTGTGTGTGTTTGTATGTATGTGTGTATCTATACTTTGCTGCACAATATTGATAAATTATGACATTTTGTATACAAATAAAACCATGTAAGATGTAATACAACTTTGTGTGTTTAGATGTTTTTAGAAATAAGAAGGCTGGCAAATTTGCCAGTTGAGCAAAGTCCTTTTGTTTACTTTTGAAAGCTCCCCGTGTAATTCTGCCTAAAGAGACCATCATTCACTATGGAGATGAAATACTGCACCAAGAACGGCACCTTCCTGCTTGCTTGCTTGTTTGTTCTCTTCTTTAGCAAAGAGATAGAAATGAAGACCACAAACTCATTTTTTATTCTCCAGCAAAAAAAAAAAAAAAAAGAAGAGAAACAAAAAGCCCAGTCGAATAGGCTGTTCATTACAGTTATTCACCAGGTTCCAGTAGCTTTTCTCTTCAAGTCCTAAGTTAGCCCTTTATCATAGTGCTCCATTAAAACATTATCAAACTGTGGGGAAAAATCAGACTCTAAGCTGGGCTCTTTTTTTCCCTCTTTTAGTCTAATGCTGGAGGGGGAAAAAAGAAAAAAAAATGTCGCTGCCTTCTTTCCTAAAAGCCTGTAGAATGCCACAATATATTGACTTTCCTTATCATCCGCAGTTCTGAGGGGAACCTGAATTGCTTCTCCCCCTCCTTTTTTTCGACTGTGTGCTGTAGAAAATTTATTTAAGTGCATCTTTGCTGTCTGCCTGTCTAGGAGCAGTATACAGTTTTCTGATCAGAGGTCGATGTTGATCAGAGTTCAGAAACATTTCTTCATTCAGGTTCAAATTCACCAGCAACTGATTTATTTAGAGCAATAACACGCGTGGCAGGTTCCAGAAGCAGTGTTGCTGCTCATTTATTTATAGTTCTGCTACATTTACACCCTGGTTATGTTACAGTTTATCACCATCATTTCTATTTGTATTTGAGGGCTGAAACAGATTACTTTTATGTGCATCGTACCATATAAAAACTTTGGACTAATGTGTTTCCCAGCTTATGACTGGGCAATGCATTTGCCTGCTGGAGCAGCTGGGGGCACAAAGATCCATCAAAACTCAGTGAGGCTGTGAATCGGTAATTTTGTGTTTATGTGAGTGCAAGCAGTATGAAAACCAGTATCATTTCACTGATAATACAGAGATATTTCATTTTAAAAAAACCAACCCTGTATTCCAGACTCTGCTAGCCTCATTATTTTTATCAATTCTAATAATTACAAGTGTGACATTGTAATTGATGAATGCCTTCAGGCACGCGGTTCATCAGGGCACCATTACAGTGATGTTACAAATATGATTTAAACCAGATCTTATGGTACGCTGCTTAGATTAAAAACTCTAAAGTTGCTATTGAGAAAGATTCCCCC